TGTATGTGCGCAACTGCCCGCCCGTCTAAGAAATGATTTCCGATAATGTACTTGTGGGTGCAGCGGTTGTTCGAGAGCGCTTCTTACTTATGTTATTTCTACATGACGGTACACAAGAATCAAACAATATACATAATATATCAATAGCATTAGAGAACAAATAGTCACATAATAAATAAATATTTTATAATGCGTCGCTTACAGTAGTTATTTTAAACATTCACCGTATAAAGAACTACTCGTACATTTATGAAATTTTAAAGTCTACTCAAACGTAAAATATGTAAATATCAGTAAGTACTAAGTAACTATTTTATGGAGCCAATTATCATTCAATGGGGTGAAGGATATGTATCAAATATCACTAATAAACATTATGCGCACCTCCGATAAAATAGTGTTACAACTCGAAAAAGACGAATTTTGAGTTAAATACACAGAAATACTTAAAATTTTATGAACTATCTTCTCCAAAATGAAGTTGTAACGGTACATGACTAAGACCATAGCATTTTGACTCGAGAATGATCTCTATTAGTGTTACATTTAGTGTTATAAATGGTAGACGTGCGTTTGTTTAGACGAGAAGTGTTACATATTGTGACGGCCCATCTTTACTAATAATAATTAAAAATAGTCTTAAAAGACATATGTGAAACAATAAAATTACATTAATAAGCACAAAATTAAATACATTTCAGACATTAGACAAATAATATAGTAAATTAAAGGCAAAATATTGTCTTACAGAATAAATAAATTTATTTAAAAACTTGTAAAAATATTTAAAATATGATAAATAATAGAAATACAAGTCGAAAATATTATAAAAATAAAGATAAATAACATTTATAAGATAATTAGAAAATTTGTTAAAAATTGTCTAAGTCATGGAAGGAGTTCACGTATAAAAGAAAATTTTCCTAAGTTGTGGAAGGTGTTCAGGTATAGATGTCTTGTATGGAGGAGTTGCCGGAGATACATACCTGCAGTTGTACATATATAAGTGGGTGGTCGGGAGCCCTACTGCTTGAAGTACTGTAGCACAATGACTATTTAGGGACTTATGATAATAAACTCAATGATACAAAAGCAATATATATATATATATATATATATATATATATATATGCTAAATATAGCTATAGAAGGTCTTTATGATGAATTAGCATTACAATAGTAAGGTCGTGAGTTGAAGTCCTATATATTAATGACTTATGAAAGTAAGATCTACGATACAAAAGCAATACTATAGAAGGTCTCTATGATGAATTTGCATTACAATAGTAGGGCCGTGGGTTCAAGTCCTATATATGAATGACTTATGAAAGTAAGGTCTATGATACAAAAGCAATACTATTGAAGGTCTTCTTGATGCATTAGCATTATATGGGGTGGTTGGGCGACCAACTGCTCTTACTACTGTAGCAAAATGACTAGTCCTTATTAGGGACTTGAAAAGGATTATTATGGTGGCGTGAATGCTGCTTCACGAGCAATTGGTCCGAGGTAAACTTGGACTCGCTAACCGATGTGTCCTAGACATATCATCTTAGTGCCGGTGGTAAGCGGGTTTGTTGTAGCAATACGGCTTTCCCGTGGAAATCGCATACTAATACCGTTTGAGGGCGACGTCGTAGCGTATAGCGATGCGTCGTCTATCATTTCGGATTGGGATGAGTGTGTTTGGTAGCACTTTTAAGTGTAACCAGCATACTGAATTTCATGTCTCAGTGCATTAGCGCTATGATACGTTGAGTTTTGTCCACTGGCGTCTTAGTAGCGTGCTACTACGATACGTTGGTGCAGTTTTTAGTTAACAACATATTAGTGCCGGTGGTAAGCGGGTTTGTTGTAGCAATACTGCTTTCCCGTGGACGTCGCACACCCATACCTTTTGAGGGCGACGTCGTAGCGTATAGCGATGCGTCGTCTATCTTTCGAATTGGGATGATGAGTGTGTTTGGTAGCACTTTTAAGTGTAAGCAGCATACTCAACTTCATGTCTTAGTGCATTAGCGCTATGATACGTTGAGTTTTGTCCACTGGCGTCTTAGTAGCGTGCTACTATGATACGTTGGTGCAGTTTTTAGTTAACGACATATTAGTGTCGGTAGTAAGCGGGTTTGTTGTAGCAATACGACTTTCCCGTGAACATCGCACACCCATACCGTTTGAGGACGGCGTCGTAGCGCATAGCAATGCGTCGTCTATCTTTCGGATTGGGATGATGAGTGTGTTTAGTAGCACTTTTAAGTGTAAGAGGCATACTCAACTTCATATCTTAGTGCATTAGCGCTATGATACGTGGAGTTTTGTTCATTGGCGTCTTAGTAGCGCACTACTATGATACGTTGGTAATATTTTTTAGTTAACAACAATAAAAACTTTGTTACCAAAGTCGATAGGAATCATGTGGGTGTGTTGTGAGGGGGCGCCACCGGTATGATAGTTGCATTGATGCTTACTGCTACTTGCGGTATTGCGTCTTGTGATGGATCTGTGGATGTGCTGCGCCTGATTCGACGCATTCTTGTAGTTCTGGTCGATGAAGGTATACAACTAACAACATCTTAGTGCCGGTGGTAAGCGGGTTTGTTGTAGCAATACGGATTTCTCGTGGACATCGCACACCCATACCGTTTGAAGACGGCGTCGTAGCGCATAGCGATGCGTCGTCTATCTTTCTAATTGGGATGATGGTGTGTTTGATAGCACTTTTAAGTGTAACATGCATACTCAACTTCATGTCTTAGTGCATTAGCGCTATGATACGTGGAGTTTTGTTTATTGGCGTCTTAGTAGCGTGCTACTATGATACGTTGGTGATATTTTTTAGTTAACAACAATACAAACTTGTTACCAAAGTCGATAGGGATCATGTGGGTGTGTTGTGAGGGGGCGCCATCCGTATGATAGTTGCATTGATGCTTACTGCTTCTTGCGGTATTGCGTCTTGTGATGGATCTGCGGGTATGCTGCGCCTGATTCGACGCACTCTTGTGGAGGGGGTGGTGATGGTCTGCTGGGATGTATGTGGGACCTTGGGATGGTGTAAGCCTGACGATAGTCGTATTGATGATTGTTGCGTTCTGCAGCATTGCGTCTCTGCAATGGTTGTTTGGTGGGACGCTATTCTCAATGGCGCTCTCTACGTCTTGGTTTGACTCACACCTAAGTAGCTTTGCCCAAGTCGGGTCCCTTCATTACGGGGCTGCAGACTGTCTGCCCTCCACGATGTTTTATATAACAATAATAATATATCTCTGTAACTTTCCCACTTTTGAACGATTGAACAACAACTGGCAACTTGTTGGTGGGTGAGGCAAATATGATCGAAAATGCATTACCTCAACGTCAGTGACACAAACCCTTTCTGATGGCGAATTATTACTCTTATCTTATAACTGCCTTTTGGCTACATCTGCCGTTGTATTGGTTGGTGGAGCATATGTGTCGACCTCATGCGGGTGGTAGCTCGCGGGAGGACCTGAGGAGACTCACAAGGCTGCGGCCGAAAGCCGCACAACGTGCGACCCCATTCCCTTGAGGTGAGCGGTAGACTCATGACACGCTCTGCGGCTAGTAGCCGTGCTGATCATGCAATTGGTGGTGATGCCATACACTTACATCACGTTTGCAGGAGCGGCGGTCTAGCAGGAGGTGACGCTCACGGAGGATTTACGGCCAGAGTGCCTATTTGCTTAAACCGTGTGACGTACTTTCACTGTGTCTGGATTCGTTCGTATTCTGTATGGCGTTTACACGCATTGACATGCGCGACTTCGGTCGATGTTTGTGCTTACGCACTAACAAGGGCCAAGCCTCTTTTACTGGTTCGCCAGTTATTTTGCTGTGGACTATGGTCCAGTTCCCGAATTAACGTTCCCTTCGGGGGGAGTGCATCAAAATGGTTGGCGCTCACCGCGCACGGCGTGTGTGGAGCCGTGTGCCTCCCCTACATTTTTTTTAAATAAATGTAGGGGAGCGATGCCCTTGTATCGGGTATTTTGTATAAGTATATTTTGAGCCTTTTCCAAGCGGGAAAGGAATAGGGACGTTTTATGTTCTTAACCTTTCTCGAGCCCTGTCTTCGTGAACGGGGTTCACTTAGCTTATAAGGCGCGACCAATAGCTTTCAATTGCTCTATAGTGAATATTCATTCTTCCAAAAGACACCTAAAAGAACTAAGTTACTAAAACACAACGTAAATAAGGGTCCTAACTAAGACGATCACGCCAAAATATTACAAACGGCCTATTATTAAACCTTTAGAAAGATCATTTAGAAAGATCAAAACATATTTTATTAATCCTGGTCACATATATATAATTTTTATTATAAAGGGGAACTAATTATATTCAATATCATACATATTTATATAGAGGGGGGAGCGTTAAAATATCAAAATACAACAGTGTTTTAGACGGGTATAATATTTTTGCTTACATAAATTTGTCTAATGAACAGTTACAAGTCGAATTATTACAGTTTATTGTTAAAGAATTGAATCAAACTAGCTCAATATTTCTATTATAAAGTGATATGTTTTGTATTGTATCAGTATTATGGATGCGATTTACTGTAATATTGTTTTACTTTTCACGTTGTAACAGTATTTGACGAAAAATTTATATTTTTTGTCTGAATATTTCGATTTGTAACCTTGTTTTATAACAAAGTTTAGGTATTTTCAAAATATTTGCTGTGAATCTGATTTATGATTCTAGGGCCAAAATAATTCTGCATTTAGCTCTAAAGGATAAAAGAAATATACCCGCCGATTATTATCAAAAGATTGTAAGGTACAAACTTGCAAGGTACGATGCCTACTATACTTACCTACTTACTTACCTTACCTACCTGTTTTTACCAGATTATTTTTGTCATTTTAAAAGTTAGTAGCATAAATTATTTTGTATAACGAACTAATTTAAGCGCCTAACTTTATGTAAACAAGTGAATTTCATCATAAGTTCGTGTTAATATTTTTTTTCAGAATCAAGAAAAAAATCGGATTTTGATATTATTGACAATCTATCAGAAACCGGGAAAATTGACTTCGATATACCACAATGTAACCTCGCAAGAGCTAATCAAGATTTCATAGCTGTTCCCGAAGCTGAGAGTGAAAGAGGTTTTTTTAATCGTGCAATCGGAGCAATGATGGCTTTAATTTTGATGTCTGAAACGATGTGCTAATTTAAAAATGTGTTTTACAGAAAATAAGACAAGAATTATTTCCAGCAAGAACACTACGGAATTTGAAACACTATTATCTCTAAGTGAACATTTCAAAAGCTATCCCATCGAGAAAGTTAATTTCGATTTGCTAAATGATCTTCAGATTCAATGTGAAAAATATGGTAGTATTTTATTGTGAAATTGATATAAAAGTTGCCTTTGTTTAGTAGTCATTATAATTGTTGATTCGATTTTGCATTTACAGATATAACAATAAGTAATTCTGCCACTTACAATACTGAAGTGATACCATCTACAAGTTCAATAGAGGTTAAAGACCAGAGTTCCAAGGAAATCGAGAAACCTATTGATGACTCGTCAACCGATTCTTCTTCAGATTTTACACTTCTCATTCAACTTCAAATGAGGATAGTGATGATTCGGTGAAAGATCCAGATTTTCAAATTGAGGAACGTCGTTCCATTAAAATCTCTGACGATTCCGAAACTGAAGACAACGTTGGTAACCAAGCTAACTTCGAAGCTACACCTGCAGCTACATCTTCAGTATCAACATTGTACTCAAGCCTAGATGACACAATACCAGACACGAAAAAACGAAGCAGAAAACGTGTAGCTAAACCAACTGAATGGTTACAAAATAAATGTAAAATCCTCAGAAATGAAGGGTCTGCTTACGTAACACTAAAAACAAAGGTGAAGAAGGATGCTAGAAAAATTAAACCACCGTGTAGTGAACGCTGTCGGTTAAAGTGCAAAGAAAAATTTTCAGAAGTAGATAGAGAAGCTGTTTTTAAAGAGTTCTGGGAACTTAAAGATATTAACCGGAAAAGAGATTTTAACAACAGGCATATGGCGCCAATAAAGCGAAAATATAGATACACTACTACTCAAAAGGGAGACAATTAAATCATGCATTTTACTTGACCAAAATGGGATGTCAAATCCAAATCTGCAAGACATTCTTCATGAGTACAATAGACATCAATAATAGAGTAATACAAACTGTAATCAAGAAGAGGACATCTGCTGATTCCGTTGAAGAGGACAAAAGAGGCTAACATCACAGTCATCACAAATTGCCTGATTGTGTTAAGGAATCTATTCGCAACCATATTAATTCAATCCCCCGCATCGAGAGCCATTATTTGCGACAGCAAACTGCAAGGGAGTTTATTGAGGGTGGAAAAACAATAGCTGATCTTCACCGTGAGTACGTAGAAGAATGTGGGCTTAATAATAGACCTCACAGCAATTATGTAATGTATGCAAAAATTTTTAACACAGAGTTCAATTTAGGTTTTTTAAGCCAAAAAAAGATCGCTGTGAGCTGTGTGTTGCTTATAAAATCGCAGAGGACAAACAACATCTTCAACAGATATATGATCAACACCTTTTGGAAAAAAAATTGTCACAACAGGAAAAACAGTGTGTCAAAGATAACGCTTTGGAAACAAATATAATAGCAGTTTATGATCTTCAAGCTGTTCTACCAGTTCCAAAAGGTGACGTATCTGTTTCTTACTACAAAAGTAAATTGAACCGTTTTAACTGTACGGTGTCCAACCTTGCAACTAAAACAACTGAATGTTACTTCTGGCATGAGGACATAGGTAATCGTGTTTCTGATGAAATTGGTAGTTGTATTCTCCAGTTTATAGAAAAAAGATTGTCTCAAATTATTTATGGTTCTGCTATTGACATAACCTTTTATTCAGACAACTGCGGAGGGCAAAATAAAAACAAGTTTATAATTGCCTTATACGCCTATTGCGTACTTAAATACGATAGACTGAAATCTTACACACAAATTTTTAGTGACTGGACATACTCAAAATGAAGGCGATTCAGTGCATTCGGTAATTGGAAATGCATTAAAAGGAGGTTGAAATTTGGCCCCATTTACGTGCCTTTTACGTGCCTTCTCAATATGCACAAATTATAAGAACAGCCAAAAAAACTGGGCCTCCATACTCGGTGAATGAGCTTTTATTTAATGACTTTATATCCCTGAAGAAGTTACATGCAGAACTACGTTTTGGTATGGGTAACATTAAATTAAAAGACGTCAGGGTCGTTAAATTCATGAAAGAAACACGTTGTGTTCTTTATTACAAGAACTCTTATGAAGACGAAGGATTTTCGGAAGCTAAAATTTGGTGAACACACCCTGAGGTTCTGCCTGAACTAAAACTTGCTTAAATCAGACAGCTCTCAATAAGCGAGAGGAAGAAAGCTGATTTGATGAGTTTGATTAATAGTAATCATATACCCCAGTTTTATGCGCCTTTTTACAACCAATTGTAATTGAATAAATACCAGTAATTTTTTGATAATTATGCACCCTAATTAAAAGATGACTGAAACTTGGATTTTATCTGTGATTTTGATTTTATAGTGATGATTACAGTTCCTACTGAGTATTTAAACATTATTTCATTAAGGAGAACGTTTGACCAAATATTATTTAAGCGTAACTTAATTAAGTACTACCAGAACTTGTACTGTAAAGTGATTCGATAAAATTGTGATGCCTAGAATAGTTAGTTTTCATTTTTGTTTTAGTTAAAATTTTTGAATATTTATGTTAGAGTTGATTTTGTTACTAAGTCTACAGCTATATAAATATTGTTTAGTTGAAAAAAGTGTAAATAACTGCCTAATTTTTATTATAATAAGAATTGTTACATTTGTCATACTGTATTTTTGTTAGTAAAAGTTCAAATAGTTATCTAAAATACTGTTACAATTAGGAATTTTTAGGAAATTTGAAAAATAGCTTATGTCATTTAAACATTTTTTGTAAGCTTTTCAATTATATATAATTTGTATCACTTTATACTAATACTACAAGAATAAAGACTGTATAACGAATCCATGAGTTTATTTTCGCTTTTCTAAAGATCCAGGTTTCTCAAGTTGTAACCCTATTTTATCGGAGGTGCGTGTTAAACGAAGACCATGAAATTTAACATTATTTTATCAAAACTAAATTTACTGTTTAGTCTTTACATTTATCTCTAAATATCCGTCCATTAGAGTCGCTAGAACTTAAAAGCATATCGACGGATTTTAAAGAAATTTTTATGTGTGTTTGAATGGATCCCTGTATGGTTTAGATGCACAATCAGACCCGTTAGGTGGCGCTGTTGTCGAGATCCAGCAATCACCCGTGCGAAACCGGGGCCGGACCGCTAGTATAAAATAAAAATTATTCGCTTAATTTACTTTTTACTCTTTACATTTATTTAAAATTAAAATTATTGAAGCATTTCTGATTTCTATATATATATTTTTTTTTTCTTTTTTTTTTTTTTTTTTTTATAGTTATATATATAACGCATTTCATAAACTCTGAAAAACTCACTTCTGTATTCCTGAAAGATATTATAGGTAACTATACTATACCAAATTTCAATCATCTACTTCTCCGAAAAAAATCCTGTGAGAGACAGACAACTAAAACCAAAGAATAAACACCGAGGTGAATCAAGTGATCTAATTTGTTAATTTTGGCAGGAAGCGGTGATGTTGTTTCTAAATCGAAAATCACGCGAGCGAAGTCGCGGCTAAAAACCTAGTATAACTGTATATATAACGTAGATTATACGTCATCGTGATTTAATCAATATTTCAAAGAGGAGTACTTTATTAATATATCTGTGTAAGTATTTACTTTCTTGTTTACCGACACAGTTAATTACTATTCTCAGAACACAAATCCAACATAGAAATGAACATGAACCGCATAATTTATGAGAATAATCTCCCTGTCTGCTCAGCCGCAATGCAATCCGAACGAATATTGCAAAGCTATCAACGTTCTTTGATAGTGTTACTTCCGCTTATTATGATTTTATCAGCATTTCGATATTTATTGTCATACAAACATACCTGCCAGTATTAAGAACTGATTTGACATACCTATCTAGGTTCTTACCTTGAAATTGCCGTATTTCTATTTGCGTCCAGAAGCAAAAGTAAAGGGCTATCCTCCGGGAAGCGTAGAAGGGAGGTGGTGAATGCTCTAATCATAACACGCAGCCGGCTGCATGGTTATGTGGGACTCACTATAATACCTAGAGTGCCTACCCACTAAACACCAACTGGGACTGGCTTTGGCCTGGGAAGGTCTTTCAGCCGTATCGGAAGCGACCCCAAAGTGTGCCTAACTAAGGCAGTTTACGAATTTGGTACATGACTAAATTATGGGGAACACAAATGGTTGTGGTGCCCGGCAAGAGCAAGGAGACGGTCCCGAAGGGACTGAGAAACGGGCAGTTTGCGTGCTAGAATGGCAATCTCCCCTATGTCGATGCTTCGAATAGCAAATAAACTGTTTCCCGGTCATCGATCAATGAGGATTGTGCCTGGTGTGGGGCCTGGTGGGAGACCCTGAGGGGTCGATAGGGACTCTGAGGGGGCCGATAGAGGTCCCGAAGGGGCTGAGAATAGGCCTGACGGGGCATTTTGGATGGGAGAGCCGGGAATAAACTTTCATTAACTGGTGTAGGAGCTGGTTTTGCAGCTTTAGTAGGATGGGGGCGAGAAGGGCGAGGACAGCTTCTGAAGTTTTCCGTGTCGCCGGACAGACAGGCAAAGAACGCACGCGGGTGGGGATTCGGCATCACGGGACCGAGAGCACGCTTTTGAGCTGTGCGGGTCAGGGCACTTAACGCACATGGGGGGAGCGGAGCAGTTGACCGCTGCATGTACATAAAGTTAACAGCGGTGGCACTGGCGCGGGATGACCGCGCCTATGGGGAGGCTCGACTTTTACTCTCGACAGGCCACGTATTGTATGTGTCTGCCGGAATATGTCACCTGCCCCCGGCACGGTTGTAAGGACGAGAAGAGCAAGTGGGAACCTCTTGCCTTTGTGGCTGTGTATCTTGTGCAAAGCCTCGACGGGGAAACCTTGGGACTTAAGGTCCTCCAGGGTGTCCTCGTTGGCGTGTTCGAAGGGAAGAAATTGCCGTTTTCTAATATTAGTAGTTTGTACCAGTTCTAGCTCAGTGCAACTCACCATCCTCAGACCTCATCGGCTGACGGTGGGTCGACAGATCCTAAAAAAGAAAAAAAATGGCATGCTCTGATCACGTATCTGCGGTCAGTTTTTGCGTGGTTCTGGAGATGTGCAGATCAATTAACTAATAAAACTAAATGATATCCGGTGGGCGTGCACCCTCATTAGCATTCCATTGTTGTTCAGCCTTTCCTTTTACCTATTGTTCCTTGAACATCGTCATTAACGATCTTATCTATTACGTTGTGCACCCTGCTTATCACTACTATTGTATTATACTTCTTTGTTCATAACTACCACGCAACTTCCAACAGTCGTATCAGGGACGTCGGTCAGGGCCGTTGATGGGTTTAAAGAAGATCAGAGACGTAGCACCACTATTTGTAATTGATTGTTCAATACAACACGAAACTTTAAAAGGCTCGGTCGATGTGAGAGTTGAAATCAAAACAGACCGAGAAATACCAGATCAGACAACCGCTTATTGCTTGATTTTAAACGATTGTATATTCGAGTACAAACCACTGAGTAATATCCTTAAGAAAATATCATGAATAGCAATACAATAATCATAGATCTTCAAGGATTCAAAAATAGCTAAAATGAATTTATAGTAAAAGAATTTGCTATAGCCACTCTTGAGGACACAAAAATATTCCAAATTAAACCTCCTTACCCATTCACTTCACTATCTTGAATATCTCTATATTGAAGAGAAAAACATTCAAAACAGCCTATGATGAATGCTATAAGAGACGAGAATGGCTATATTCTGAATGATGAAGTTTTGAGTTTAAAGAGATGGAAGGAATATTTTGAAAGCGTGTTTATGAGTGAGGAGACAACGTGTGTACTAAGTGAAGTAGAAACACCGAAAGAAGAG